TAAGGTCAATTATTTTTGTAAGGAGAAACATCTTTTATTTTTTAAGGTAAATGTCATTGCATTCTATCTTCTTCTAAAAATTAGAAATAGCAGGAAGTTTTATAACTGCATTGTTGGTTGAGGAATACCTGATTAGATCATTTGGAAGGGCCATACGGTGCTTTCCGGTCTTTGGACCATCAGGCTGTGGGCAGGAACCTTGTCTTCATATGCACTTTTGTACCTCTCTGCAAGCATAGCATATGTGCCTCTGCATAAGGGCAAGGCTTTCTCAACGGAGACAAACAACTGGGAAGCTAACTTCTGTGCTAGAGATGATCCTAAATGAGTTCTACAAATCAGGAAATTCCAAGCTAAAGAGAGGAACAGCTCAGCAGGCTTCTCTGAGTATCCAAGTCGTTCAGTTTACTGTAGCTAATTACTGGGCTGACTCTTGAAATTGTCTCTTCCTCTTTCTAATGGTCAGAATTCAAACAGATGATAGTCAAGGTAAGGTCAATAGGAAGAGGACTCATTGTATGTGGATTGATTTGGGCCATCTCCAACATTTCCTTTCCCCTTTTCTTTGTCTTAAGATGTGCGAAAAAGAGTTAGAAGTTCCAGCCTGACTAGTTCCTGTTCCTTTTCCTCAGAACCACAAGCAGCAGTGGAGGGCTGACCATCAGCAGCCTCCTCAAGGAAAAGGAGGGCTCAGAAGTAGCCAAGTTCACTATAGAAGAGCTCTGTCTCATCTGCAGCATCCTGAGCACAGCAGAGTACTGTCTGGCCACCACTCAGCAGGTGAGCCACCCTGGCCTGCCCACTCACCACCTCTTTTTCCTGAACCGTCCAGGCCGCTTATCTCAGTAGGTAAGAATATGGGCCCTAACAAGGCCACAGGTGTCAAGCTTGGGCAGACCACTTAGCCTCCCACAGAGGAAAACTTGCTATCCAGTGAGAAGACTGCCCAGGCAGCTATCTTACAGCAGGGCTTTGTTACAGAGGAGACTGGGCGAGAAAGACTGGTCTCCTCCTCAGAGTTGTGTAAGCCACTCAAAGGGCATACCTTCTTGAAAGTAGGTCAGTAGCACTCTCTCCCCAGGAAAAAATCAGTAACAAACATAATGGTACTAGGACCCAGCCTTTGGTGGTGATGATTGCAACCAGTTATTCCATTCTCAGAAGTATTACTAAGCTAAGCAAAATCCTTTGGGTTTTTATGTGTCTCCTGAAATTTACATAGCATTCTCAGTCTGCCTAAACAAATAACCATTGTTAGGGATGCTGACCCTGAAGCAGGACAGGGTGATACCTTTTCTGGAGCCCCCCAGATGGCAGTAGTTCAGTGAACTAATTTAGTAGAAGGAAGACCCAGAATAACTTACTGTTCAGCCTTAGATGTGGGATTAAAAGTTCCTTTTCACATTTAGTCTGGAATGCACCTAAGGCCAAGAGAGAGAAATAATTTGGGGAGGTTCTGCTCTTCCTCCCTCTTTGGATATTATTTACACATGTCTAGATCACAGAAAGACAGTCATAAATAATGGTTCGCGCAGTACAACTCAGAGCTCCCATGAGCCAGTGCAGGAATACAGGAGGCTCCCCAGAGACTACAGAGTTGTGGTTAAGCCAGGCAGAGGCAGAGGCAGTAGCATGCTCTGTTTGGAGACGTGAGCACATTGAGCTACACAGGGAATGACCTGTAAAGGTTTGGCCTTGGAGCCAGAGACAGCAATCCATTTAGTTAGCCCCAAGAACCTCCAGGGCAGGACAACAATATCTGTGATGACCTCCAAGGCAGGGGTCCCAGAGTTCTTTGATGAAGAAACACTAATTATTTTGTGTGTGTGCAAAAAGAGAAAGACATACACCCATACAAGTCTCGTATTTTAAAAGTAACCATAGTGTAGGGGAAGAAAAAAAAAAAACTCTGAAAATAATGACTCTTAATTCCATCACTCACAAATAATCGTATTTGTAATCTATTCTCTTTCATTTTTCATAAACCTAGTTTTATATGCTGTAATCTTGATTCAGTTTTACATCCTGTTGTTGTTGTTGACATCATAGTGTAAGCATTTCTCCTGTTGCGTTGTCTTTATTACCATCACTATAATGACTGCATAATCTTCCATTCAGGCACTAATATCATAAATTACATAATAGTATACCTGATCATTGTTTGTTCTGCTTTACATTTTCACTTTCATAAATAATCCTTCAAAGAACATATTTCTGGATACATTGTCTTATATGGTTTGCATTATTTTTCTACAACAGATTCTTAGAAGTTCTAGAAGTATTAGTAGATCTAAGACTATTTTGATGACTCATGATACATAGAGCCAAATTTTTTTATTTAGTAAAAATTGTTTTTACTGATTATAAAAGTAAATACATTCCTAGCACCTATATTGTGATCTCTAAGTAATATGTTCCACTAAAAGGAACCAGAAATTCCTGGAGAAATTACTAATTTCAGGTCTGGGGTAGTGTGGTGAAATGAATTTCTTTTGTGGCTTTTTGCCTTGGTTGTTTGGAAACAAACAGCTTGAGAGATTTTTCCCCTACGCCCTGAGGAGTTACCTTTGCCCTAGTTTTCTGCCCCAGAGGATTTGTTGCTTTTGTCTAGGTTGATTGACATTTCCTGGGAAAGCTGTAAACAATTTGGGTTTGATATTTTTTGTCTGGCCCTGGGCTGCAGCCTGCCCTGTGATTGGTATGCACCTTGAAGGGATTGGTCTATAGACTATGCAAATGAAGTATCTGTAGCCCACTATGCAAATGAAGTATCACCTTTGAAAATGCTAAGGAGCAAGGAACTGCCTTATTATTTTGAAAACTGGCAAATAAAGGGAGAATAGTTATCTTGCCTTTCCTCTCTGATTCATACCTCAGGATACCCGCGTCATTGATGATAGGAAATAGCTCTTTATAGAAAAATTGTAGCTAATAAATGAAGAAGAAAAGATAGAATATCTTTTATACTTGTTAATGAAATAATGGTTCTGGGCATTGAGCATCAGTGGCTGCTAGCATCACAAAAAAGAGAGACAACCAGACGTTATATATCTCCTGATAGAAGTACACAATACCATAATGAAGTAGTTTAAAAAAAAAAAAAAAACCTGAATCTGATCAAGCTTCTACGGTTAACTACCAATTTAGAGCAAATGCAAGGGACAGAGGAACATGTTAATTTATGCCTGAGGGATACAGTCAGCAAAATCCAAACATTTTAAGAAAAAATAGCAGAGGGACAAAAAGAAATAGAGGGAAGAACCAAAGAGACTTAAGAAACTGAGTAATGAAGAATTGAAAAATAAAATTTTAAGAAAGTCAATAATTTATCAGTATTGGTTCATTAATTGTAACATATATCATACTAATGTAAGATGTTAATGATACGTGTTTTGGGGTAAGTGCTAAGAAGGATCGCAAGAAAAGGACATCATGTTTGGTAAAGTGGAGGGTCAGTGAAAAAAAGGGAAACCATCCATGAGATGGATTAACACAGTGGCTGCAACAATGGGCTGAAACAAGTGCGCGATTGTGAAGACGGCGCAAGACTAGACATTGCTTTGTTCTCTTATACATAAAGTCGCCATGATTTGGAGCCAACTTGAAGGTACGTAACAACAACAAGTAAGAAGGAAGCACATGTTGCCGTGAGAGAGTAAGGGAGTTGTCTGTTGAAATAGAGTGGTGACAGAGGGCCTCTCTGAGGAGGTGGTATTGAAGCAGAGGCCTGAGGGTTAGCTAGGAGACTGCCAGGTGAAGAGCTTAGAGCTGGGGGGATGAGGGTATTAAGGCAA